ATGTATAGAGCCTAATGCTCTGACCTCGTCCAAGTAGTAACAACCGTTTATATTTCTAGTGGCAGCCAAGATTGGAGATGCTTCACATAAAAGATGGTTCATGCTGTCTTTATTGTACACTCTTCCTTCTTTTGAGTTAAAAACTACTATTTTATCCTCATCACACAATTGTCCCACATTACCCAGGTTCACCGACGCAATAGGTACGTAAAGAGCCTTCTTAAAATAAGATTTTTCGACACCTAAGGCCGGTATATGACCTTTTATGCCCGTGACTCTTTCATTAGTGGGTCAAAAATCCATCATAAGCCTTAAGCCGTTGAGGAAGTGGCAGCTAGCACCCGGATCCAAGTTAATTATACTTGAGTCATTATGAACTTAAGAGTTCTCGCTCAAAAGTCCTCTTTTAACTTCTCGGTTTCTGCACAGTCTTGCAATATGCCAAGCCTTTCCACACTTGAAAAATTTAAATTTTTCATTAATTTTGCCTTTATAGCATTATCACTTGTCATTTTATTACTACCATCCTCGTCCTTCTTCTTTAAAGACAGCTTTAACGAGCTTGCTCTCAAGGCTACATCTTCAAGTGCCATATACTCTTCTGCTTGGCTGTGATCTCCCACGAAATTGCAGAGGCTGCGACTCTAAGCTTTGATTTAGATCCAGAACAATTTCAAGGAGGCCAATAGATCATCATTTGGTAGGGCTCCCAGAAATCTAGTAAGTTCATTCTTTCTCTAATTCTAGCACTCTTGTCTTGATATTTCTATCCTATAGCTTAAGACATTAATGCGGTCCCTTGATGATTCGATGTCTTCATCATCCAACTTCTTTATGTTCGCAAACTCCTCTTCTAAAGCCAAAACATGCCCTATGTAACGACATTTAACTTGTTGTACAAACCATTCCATAATTGAAATGGCTTCATGAGGCAACCCAACTTGTGAAAACCCGAACCTCCCGAACGATAGTCGTTAAACTCAGATCAATACTAGAAATAATAGCGTGTCATTTAAAATCCATGTTTTCTCTTACCGATATATTTAGTATCAGTAATCGCTTCAATAGCATTTATACCAATCAGTTAGGATTCTACGGTTTGCCCAGTCCTCCACAGACTTCAATTTCATCTAAAAATGCTGGAGTGGCGCTGTGAAAAGACATGATTGTAAATAGAGCTTGGCCGTTAACCTGTTGAAATATAGTATGCACTATCGTTCAAAATTGTTCCTATGTTTTAAATTATTTCATATAAATTCTATAACGCTTTAATTAATAACTGGTTATATTGACCCCTTGTACATATATAAGTTTAGATTGAGAGCTATTTAATGTAGTTTGTATTAGAGAAGTTGCTTACTTACGTAAGTCTTTATCACTTTTTAGGTTTAAGTATCGATTGAAACGATATTGCACTTTACCCCCCTCCGTGCAAAATTGTTTTAGTCCATATGAAATTTCCATGTCCCCTTCATAGGGGGTATTTTTTTAAAGCGTTGGAGTGTCTATAAAGGATAGCTTATGTAGAGACCTTGATTTAATAATGCGTAAAAAGAAAATGATGTCAAATGTCTTTTAGATCAAGGCAAGCTTTATACTGAGATTGCTCGTGAATGTAGTGCCAGTAAGGTCACATTATCCCGAATCCAAGCTTAATATGATCTAAATTGTCCTTGCGGTTGACCAGGGAGTCCAAAGATTTTGAAAAACCGGGATGTAGCTCGACTTGTGCGACAAGTGACATTGATGCAATTAAATCTGCAAGAAAACTTCAAAAATCATAGAAACAACTAGATAGACCAGTTTCAAGATCGACCATACCGAGAGCATTGCATTCTGCTGGTCTCCATGCGAAAATACGTCCACTTTTATGGATCGTCACAAGTGACTAAGATAGAGTTTGTGAAGAAATACGAAAATTGGTGCATTTCTGACTAGGAAAAAGTAATTTATTTGAAAGGGATCAAGATCAAAAGATATGGTCCAGAGGTAGTAAATGGCGTTGGAAGCGATCAGGCGATAATCGAATATTTGATCACCAGATGGAGCAAAATATAAACATGAGGGAGGATAGATAATGATTTGACCCTGTATAACATCTAAGGGGGCAGGATTTTTAAAAAAAGCGACAGGGAGCATCACCGCAAGCACGTATATAGACATTATTAAGATTGACCTATCAGAACGTGCTATTGATATGGCCTTGGTCTTGGTAAAATGGTTCTCAGCAGGATAACCCCCATTTCACACTGCATTATCGTGCGATCATGGTCCCAATTACAGTCGATCCAAGTGCTAGGCTGTCCTCCGCTATCTCCTGATCCCAATCCCATTGAGCATGCATGGGGAACCTTGAAGAGGAAACCTGGGATCATGCGAGTCAGCTCCTGCTAACTTGAACGACCTTTCGCACGTGTACAATCGGAATGGAAAAATATAACAACGTATCAATGCTACAATCTGGTTGCCAGTAAGCCAAAGAGGATACAAGCGGTGAGCCTGGCAAAAGGAAGTTAATGATTAAAACCTCGTTTATTAAATTAGATTTTTTCTACGTGCAAAATTGTTTCTATATTCTTTAAACTTTCCAAGCTCATATCTTTTCGAATATTAAACAAATTTAAGATCAAGTATTTAACAAAATGTAGCTAAAACATAGAAGTTTACTGTGCATAAATTTTAAAGTAGTCCATAAAGTTATTGAAAAGTAATTCTTTATTGAATGAAAAAAAAGCAAAATATTGAACAATTTTGCACGATAGTGTATAAATATAAAATAAGCACACCCACAAAAATAAGATAAAAAAAAAGGAAAGAAAGAACGAAGAAAACGAAGAAAAAGAGTAAGATTTATAATTTTTTCTAGAAGTCAGTATTTGCTTTAACATACATTTCATGATATCCAGCATGTGTTTAAATTCCTTTACATCATAAATAAACAGTAAAATTTCCATTTATAGAAACATGTGTCTACATTTCACTGCCCAAATCTATTCTCACACATTCACCACTCGTTGCACGAGCGTAAACAAGCGCACTGGGTACTTCGTTAGCCCTCTACAAGATTCTAACATCGTTTCTATGCGAACGCACCTTTAGAGTAAGAATTCGCGCTGCGCTGTCGCCGTACCGTCGACCGAGAGCTTGTTTTTGCAAGGTTCTTAGATCTCTACCCTTGTCTTTTGCAATCTATCTGCGATTCTCACACCCGCGTTGCATTTTACGCAATGAAATCACAGTTTACGCCTTCTCGAACGTCTTTCATTATTACTAAAACACTTGCAACGCTACCTGAAAACACTTGCCAACTTGTATCGTGGGAAGTGACCATTAATGCGGAGTGCAATGCTCATTTCAAGATGCATTGCACTAATCACGCTTCTAACACTCGAAGGTGTTAAGATCGTATGGGATTTTCAGGTCTGATACTTGACTATCAGCATCGGTAAATAAACCAACTTAGCGGTAATAGTAGAATTCGTTACTAATATGGTCAAAGCAGAACTCGCACGCACTGCCGCTGCTAAGTACAAAGGCGCAATGTCCCTAAGCAATAAACGCGCCTTTGCGAAATGTGCGTGCGCCCTGATAATGCCAACGAACCTGTTTCTAATAAGTACAAAAATCATCGACCATTGTACTCTTGAAAACGCAACATAACAAGCCCCTCCGACAGCAGGCGCACCTTATTTTGTCCGCAGTGGCACGTTGCGCCACAATCTGGTTCTAAAACGACTTAAAGTGTCTTTTCAACTGCAGTTACTGCTTTTTTAAAGTGTTAGTAGGCATGCATAATACCGATAGTGGGCTCAAGGACTTACATATGAGCTCTGGACATGGGTTCTATGAGCTTTAAGCGCACACTTATCCTTTCTGTATTTAAAAGCACACATATATTTAACATATAAAATGATTTGACTAGTGGGAACTTTATAAGAATTACGAAGAATAATTTAAGTAGTTAGCAAAACTAAGCAGTCTCGGCGCTCGAATGTATTGAACTTCTGCGTAAAACGTTAATAACAGCAATAAAGGTAAAAAAGGAAAAGGAAGTAGTTAATGATATTGTGTGACGCGTGGCAAGTATTAACCAGATAGTCCGCTCTAAAAAATGTGTTTTTCGAGTTTATAAAATTTCAGGGCGTTGAGTCTCACCACTTGAAAATATCCTTTGAGTAGCGGTAATTCATCATAGTAGGTAAAATGGGTTAAGAGCTTTTGGAAAGAGAAGCTAAGAACTCTCGTGGTTTGAGAATAAGAATATTTAAAGATTTCAGCAATCCTCTTGTTGTTTACTCGAGTACTTTATATTTATTTTTCAATTTTTGTTCACTATACCTCTACGTGATCTTTGTTATTACTACTATTTATAGTGATATAATATATTCTTTGGCTTACATTGTTACATGGTTATTAATTTTTTTAAATTTTAATTTTAATTCTAAATATTACTTTGTTAATAACAACACGGGTCACTATTGCCTAAAATAAAAATTTTAATTATCAATCTTTAAGAAATTATTTATTTTTTTAATGTATTCTGTTATGGTTCTATATAACTAATATATAAGAAAGCATCCTTTTTTGGTTAAGTTGGTTTTTTTTTCTTTATTCTTTTTACACAGTTGGTAAGTACAGCTGTATTTTATTTATTTATTTATGCTGTAATATTTTTTCAAAATGCAATATAATTAGTAATAAAGATTGTTCATATTATATAAGTTCCCCTTCATGTGCTTTCGACCAGGACCCCAGGATTTCTAAGCCTTTGGCTTCATTTTATTTATTTACGCTTTTTCTAAAGAGCACTGTAATATTTTTTTTAATTTTTAGTCGAAAGCGTTACCCAAGTAGTTGGTGTTAAGTTAACAGACGTGCATGCCTTATACATAACAAAGGAGAAAAGCGTAGGGAAGTGTTAATTAGTATGTAGTAGTAAAACATGAAAGAGAGAAATATTTTGTTTCAAGTTTATTAAGAAAGCATCTTGAGGAGCCCCACGTTATCCACTCTTAATTTCCTTTAGATACCTCCAAACTTGCTCGACACTTAAAATTTTTTTAGGGCCACTAATATTAGAGGCTCTTCCCTGCTCGAGTTCGTAGTTATAGAGCGCAAACCTTTTACATTTTGGTGTGAGTAAGTATAACTCTTTAAAACATCCGCTCACCAATCGTTCTTGGTTATAAATCGACGATTACGTGTTTTTAACAAATCGCAAACTTCTGCTTGGTGGGTTTCTTTGTATTCTATTACCCCGGTATCCAAATCCTCAAGAATCTTTTTTTAAAAAAAAAACTGAGGAAGGATACAAACAGTAATACGGACAGAAAGGACTAACCTTGTCCACAGTTTCCTCTGCGTCAAGCTTTGAGCTCAGTATTACCCCCCTTGGCCCTCTTTTAACCCATCCAGAGCAGTACAGCGGGGACAACTGAGTTTGTTTGTCGCTGATAACAGCTCCCCGCACATTTGGGATCAAAAAGCGTTCATAGTCAAAGGGAACACCTGAACAAAAAAGTGATAAAAATACATTATACATAACGAATAAAAAAAAATAGACCTTCAATAGGAACGCTTTTATAACCAACGCTTTCGAATACAAGATCGCACGGAATTCTTTCAGTAGTCTCTAAAAATAAAATATGAAGGAAAAACGTGTACCGCCGTGCGCACAGGTAAAATAATTTAGTCGTTACACTACCCACAACTTCATACTTAACGAAATTTATACCCAGAAGTTATAAAAATATGCATACCCGTCGGCTGGAACTCGGCGTGCTCAAATGACTCAGCGCCTTCAGGAACAAGTCGGGTTTTCTGAAATTCCACGTGGGTTATGCGGCCAGCCTTTAAACAACAGGTAAGCCCGCACCGAAGACGCGCACATGAACCAAAACGCACATGGTCCGTGACGAGCTGGAGAGGTCTCCGATAGTATTTGAGCTCGAAGGTTCTTTTCTTGGACGAACTACTTAAATAACAATAACAAAGAAAATGCTGTGTTATATAACATAAAACTACCAATCTTTCAAATTTGAGGAAAGGTAGCATTCGTTAAAAAGGTTAAGAATTCTTTTCCTAAATAAAAAAAAGGCAATACGTTACCAATCAAGAAGTATGCCTTGAATAGTTTTTCAACTTTTGTTGTGCAGCTGTACACCACTTAAAATTTGCCTAACTTGATTAATAGGGACCGTTTAACGACTTTTTAAAACTATTTTCTCCCCCGATATGCGTGGAGAGGAGCAGTGGGAAGATGCCCTTGACGCCAGTGCAAGCCACCCACCTCCTCCAAGCACTTTTCTCGGTGTCTCTCACTTTTTTGCCGAGTATCCGCAAATCGTCATTCATTTGTTTCACGTCTTCATCAAGAATACTAATTCTTACGTCGCCAAGCTTCGTAAGTTCCCGAAATTCCTTTATAGTATAGGCTGCCTGGGCGGGGCCCCGGCGGCCGACGCAAATAATTCTCTCTACTTTGCTTTTCCAGAGCTCTTCCAGGGCGTAAGGAGAAATGTCGGTATTCTCTAGCTCTGTAGGGGATTTCAGCATCATTCGGCTGATGTCCATAGCAACATTGCTAAATACTCCGTATAAAACAAAGTTTAAGCTAGCGATTTCCAGCGAAAATATACGACGAGCACCCATTTCCTAAGATCAAAACGGTGCGGCTTTCGCTTAGCTTAAATTTCTCGTTCACATATTCGGGGTGGCCATTGTACCAGTTAACAAAACGCCTTTTTAGATATTGAAAAAAGGTGTAAAGCTAATTCTAAATATTATATGTAGTGTAGTAGTGCAATACTACTATATACTTTTAAATTTCACAATGCACTAAGCAGGGGCGACCTTAGCCAGCAGCAACACATAGATAGCTGGTAAGTTTTACCGTGTCACATACGTAACTCTACAACGAAAAAACTTAGTAACAGTCGGAAGTAGATCGACACACGCCAAGGTCTTCAGGGTTGTTACCTGGCAGAATAAAGGCCGTGAACGCCTGAGGCTTGAGGGAAACAAGTGCGGTTATCCTCGGCACCTTAAGAAGCGCGGGTTACGAGTGTAGCCGGAGCACAGAGAGGGTTGACAGACTTAATTAGAAATTAACTACAAAAATCTTTTTGTAAAAATAACTAGCGAAGCTTATTTGTCGACCAAGTCATTTCGTGATTGAATCAAAACCCCAAAGCACCACAAAAATATAGAAAACATATGCCAATCAATACACTTATAAGTTCAACCCGTGCAGAGAATAGTGGCAGCATAGAATCGGCGCAACTCTTTTAGCTTTATGTCTTCGCCGATCTTTACGTTCCCCAGAAACCTGATCCTCGTGTTGCGCAAGCACTGCTCAAACGTGGACATCACCCTCTATAAAATTATCTTGTATTATATAATGCTTGCAAACAAAAAGGGAGCTTATATATATAGCGACTACTTAATCTACTTTCTTATTAGTTAAAAAAACTTCTCTTATAACTCAATATGTTTTTAAAAAAAGTTGAGGTAAATAATAACTTGTAAATAATAAAACAATAAATACTTTTGTCTCAGGGTGATCCGGAGCTACACCATAACGAACTAAACCTCCAGCGAACGGGAGTTTTTCAAATATGTCTTTTTGAAAGAGAATGGCAATAATTTAAAAATATTAAGCATTCTTTTACCTATGGTAAAGTTTAAGGTAGGAGGGACTAATTTAAGTAGGCGCAGAGCCGTAAAAAAACCTAACAATATCAAGTAAATTAATAAAAATAAATAAACAATTTAAGATATTACTGACATTGAAAGAGAGCTTTAAAATGATTATAGTTACCAGCTGGCCCGCTTCCAACTATACAAAGCTTTGTAACAATGTTAGGGCTTCCGTGAAGCCGAAATCGGTTTTCTTTTACATTATAGTAAAGAGACTTCAAATTTAGTTGTTTTGAAAAGTGCGTCGGCATACCACTAGACAAAGTTGAAAATTAAGCTAAAATTTTTATTGTTAAAGCAAAAATTAAATTTCGAATATTAGACCTATTTTTATTATTCAGTTTGGCAATGCCTGCTTCTAAGTGTAAAAAAAAAGATGGAAAAAAAGGTTCAAAAGCAGGGAGAACCTCGAAGTCAACTCTGCTTACTAACTACTAGTTTGGATAGTCATCCGCCTTAAAAAGAGTGTACCAATGAAGTAGGATGAAATTATAAAGTACAATATCCTTTGCTCGTGAGAAAACCGCCACACAAAACTACAATTTTAGTAGCCCCCGGATTTTAGTTCCATAAAATTTTCTTTAACTATATTTATGTAAACCATTAGGCATTGTCGCTTAAATTTGTTAATTATAAAAAGGAAGTACATAAGTGGAAGTCGAATACAAACTTGAGTCCGGGGAGCTCTCTTGCAAGGTACTTATAATTTAGAAATTACCACGAGTAGGTGTGGAGTATCTCATGATAAACGCATTCTTTTAAGCAAGCCATACTTTTCTCCCCATATCTATGCACGGTTTTACCTGACATTGTAACTTTCCTAATATGTACACTACTTCTCCTTAAAAAGAGCTCTAAGTATTTAAATTTTGTTAGTGTAGCTACTATAAGTTTGCAATACTGGCGCCCTCTCTTTATAGTATGATTTTTTGCAGATAGGAAGGAGCGCTATAAACTGCTCTTATTTTATTAATTTTTCGAAGTTTGAAAGTCTTTTAAAGATGGATAGAATACTATGTGAATTTAAGCTTGATTAGCAATGGTCAAGCAGGGCTTATGGTAGAAACCTAAATGAAAGTTCAAGTGAGCGTTTTAAGGTTAATTTGCGTATGCGTGTAGGGATACCTCTAACCGTATTTTTAGCAGGTAAATTATGGTAGATTTATTGAAAGACCTTAAACCGCTTTAGCTAATTCTTCTAAACCTTAAGGGGTTTATGCACGAATAGCGCAAGTGCATACTCTCGAGGAGTATAATGACTGTCCCTAAGGCCATGTTGCTGACGAGTTCTTTCACTAATTAATAACTCATTCGCCCTCGAATTATGTACACAGTATGCAACACATTCATAAACAGTCTACTTTTGAGTATACATATTAAAAATGGGCATGAGGTCAACGCGCTGTGCGTTTAAGTTAAAAGGTGTTGCTCTTTTCGGAACTTAAAAATAATAACTATAATTTTATGGGATCCGCTAACTCCCGACGCGTATCAATTCATAGATCGCTCCCACTAAGTTGAACCTGGGGCTCATCTAAAGGCAAATTTTTAACGATTTTAAGGACCGTTAAGAAGAATTTTGAGCAGTTTATTGAAGTTTTCACGATATAAAAGTTGTTTAATTAATTGTACAAATTTTAAGTTATTGGGTCAGTTGTTATTTTGAGATTTTGTAGGCATAATTACGACTCCTCTAATAAATCACTCCGATATATTGCCTCCTGGAAATACTCTTTTCATGTATTAAGTGAAAAACTAAATGCTAACTTTTGAAAGGATAGCTAAATATGGTATCCCTCACAGAATAATGACTATTTTTAGTTAGGTGTGATCCGTTATATAGTTAAAGATAATTATTGAGAAAGCAAAGTAATCGTACGCAAATGCAAAAAACTATTAATAGTAAATTTACTAGAGTTGTCGACTAAAATGAAATCATGGTTAGGTAGTGCTTCTAAAACCTAAAATGGCTGAAGCTTCTGAATAAGAAGTACAATTAACCCGAAGCTCGTATGTAAAGGTTGCGATGAATTAGGAGATTTGAATAGTCAGTCTGTTGTTAAACTATACAATTCTGGTCAAGAAATTAATTAGATGAAAAGCAAGAAACAGCTTTACCGCTTTGGATAGTGGCCAAAGGGGTTTATCAGTGAGCGCTAGATGTGGCAAGTAAGTAGAATTTTGCATTAACGGGGACAGAGTACAATGAATAGTTGGTAGCTTAATGTAGCAAAATTGTTATGATTGGGCGCCAATATTATCTATTTAAGTGACCGAAGTAGTATAATAACTAATGAATACAGAAACTATATTATACTTCATTAATTTTACTAGCCTAGCAAAGCGACTAAACGCAAAAAACCACAAGACTTAAAGGAGATAGATCTTGTGCTTATTAACATTGTAACTATTACAAAACCACCTAACTATTAAACTATACCTATTTAATTTTGTGTTGGTACAACAAGTGTCAAAGTCATAGCTATAAATTAGGTTAAAAAAATTTTGCTTTCATTTCAGCTTGGAGCCCAACTGTTTCTTTTCTTTTTCTTTTTCTTTATGTTTTATACATACATATCTTTCTAGTTAGCAGTCTGCGCCACCGGCTAGCTTATATCATGATATTGCAGTTTAGCCCTCGCTATGTTACATGCTCCTTAATCTCTTATAGGTTACTGGTTACTATGTTTACCACTTGTCGCCTAGGTTCAATTTGCAAGAGTAGGTGACCCTAAACGACAGACTCGGTCTCTGAAACAATTTCTGGTAAGTTTGAGTATCATGTTCTAACGGATTAGGCAGCAACTAACATAGTGGTAAATTTAGTTACAGAGCGAAATAAAATTTATTTTAAGCCCCAGAATCTTGTCCATTATAATTGATAGATTTCTCTGCCGTGTCAGGAAGTGGGCACCCGCTTTAGTAGGAAGAGACTAGTTATTACTAAAAATTGGATCAAATGGTAATATTAAATGGTATAACAAATTTAATAAAATGAAATAATTCAATAAGGTAAGGAAGTTCGCTAGGACTCAATCCTTAATAAACGACCCCCGGGTACATAACATTAACTACACTCCGCAAAAATACTTTATTGCAGGTGGATTGGTGTCACACCAACTCTGAAGAGAATTCTTTAGAGATCTAAAAAAAACTTTATGGCTAGCAGCAAAGTATTGCTTTCAAATCTAATGATACTTGATTGTGAATATATTGTGGTACTAGTGTGCACTCGTTTTTACGCGCAATAGCAGATGATTGTAGGAAACTTATAGTCCATAAGCATAAGCAAGTAAGAAGCGAAACTTAATAATTGTCAGTTGAAAGGTTAAGCAAACTTATGTCGCTGAATAAAAAAGCTAACTAGTTGAAAAATTACGGAAATGCAGACCCTTTTAAATAAATGACTTTTTTTTTAAAAATTAGCGCTACTCTTAAACGTGGATCTCATTAAAAGTTTATATAGTGGTAACCACCAACACGTATATTATAATTAGTATAAACTATTTACCTAATACTAAAAATGATGAGAATATACATCCCTACTTTTGCAATACCCAGCAGAAGAGCCTTCAGAGCTCATTATTTTTGTGGGTCTTCTGGCTTTTTTCAGCCTTATATTTCTTTCACAAAGACTTAAAGTGTAGAATCTAAATTCTAAAATCGTTTTAGTAGTAAATACTATAGTTCATCAACTAAAATCCCACCTGTTAAAGTTAGGAAGGCGTGCCCAGGTAGGTAGAGCTTGTTCATCAGAATTAGCTTGGGAGGGGTTTCTTTGGGTTTTACTGCTTGCTTTTCTTTTAAAGTTACTTTTATGTCTAATGACCCGCTACGCTCGCTTTACGAAAAAATGTTATAGCCCCACTAAGTGGGAAGACTTTAAAGATGTAAAAGTTTCAAATAAAGGTGGTCTATAAAACTGATTGCTTACGTTTCTTTTTTCTCATACCCTTAGGACGTTTTTAAATTTTATTTTTAAAATTCTTATTATATTAAGGATCAAAGAAGCAAGTCAAGAACAAATATAAAAGAGTGCAAGGTTATATGTAAGGTTTTTTTTCCTTTGCTAAACGACTGTTCTTGATATTATTTTTTTAGCACAGATTCTTTTGGAATTCATACTTTTTTAAGCTTTTTACAAACTATCTCCACTGCTTTTTAAGACAAGGAGACTTATTGTGAATCTAAAAGAAATAGAGAAGATAGCAGTACTTGTTTAACTTCAAGACCAGCGAGTAAAAGTGTATATTATTTTACTAAAGATTTATGTTTCAAACTATATTTAATGTAGCGGCCACACCTTTATTTTCCTCTTCAGCTCACGAGAGTATAAACTCTTCTCTTCTTTCTTTTACATGCAGTATAAAAGGTAAGATGAACGACTTTACGTTCTATAAGAACTTTTAGAATATTTTGTAGAAGACGTCCCTTTGCTAGAAAACAATTCTAACATTGCTCGAGCAGGTGCAGTATTACTACTTTAGTTTTCCTTTATAAAAAAAATATAATTCGAAGACATATTTTTTATATGATAGACTTCAAAAAAAAAGTTTATAACTGCCAAGGTAGCGAATCTATAGAAATTTTAAAAACTTCACCGGCTTTTAAACCATCTAAAAGAGTTATTTTTTAAATTATAGATTAATTTATATTGCACTAATAAACTGCATAATATTCAGTTAATTTTTTTTAGAGTATATTAAAAAGAGTTAGCCTTTCATAAAGGATATAGTTTAGTATCTCGAGCGATAAGGCAGTTTTAATTGATTTTTAAAAACTATATAGAAGCCTTGATTTTAATTTTCTTTGTTAGAGCAAATATAAATATGTGTCGAGATACTTACATGGAGGTACATTTATTTACGACCAGTTTCAGGATATTTTTATAAAAGTATGAAGAAAACTTTTTTACTTAACAATATACTCTAGAAACATCGTTTTCTAGCCACTTAAAATGGTTTGAAAAGCAGAAACATTGCCCATCTTTTTCCTGTAATTTGAAGAGTTTCAAACTTCGGGTTCTATTTTACATCTTTGCTTGATATGGGGTCCGTTATAGGTTAAGAAAAACAAAGTTCACCTAAAAACAAAGTAAAGTTATTTCATATTTTGTGGACTTTTATGTTTTCTAGAATAACTGCTGAGTGGACGTTATTGCAAGCTTGTAATAATTTTAATTATTAGATAAACTCCGCGAAGATTAATCATATCTGTTATTAAGACTCGGTTTTTTTTAAAGGTGAATTCACCTTACTGTAAATCGTGGTATAGATAGTAAAAGTATCTGAATATTCTGTTACTTTGCATGGTTTGTTGTGATATGTATTGTATATATTTTAATTATTAAAGCATATTGTTTTTTGCCGACATTTTAGTAAGGAAATGAAAGGTACTTGTTCATTAGACCTATACATATTAATTTTAGGTTCGGACCATAAAAAGAAATTATTTTATTAATACGCTAAACTAACCGCTAAATTTAATAACTTGGCCCTACTAAGTAATTTTCCTTTTACAACGTAGATTTGTGGGCTAATTGTGTATTTAGTAATGTGGTCTACAGTTAAGATTCTACTTAAATAATCGAGATTTGAACAGCAAAACTTTATTAACACATGTTAGCAATTAGTTGAATCGGTAACTAATAAAAAATAATTAAAATTCAATTACACCATTTCTTTTATAATGTCGATTCTTTTATAAGTGAACTCGGAGAACCTCTGTACAGTAGCAGCGCCTATTTCCTTCAAGCAGTATTCGTTTTGTGTTATCAACCGCTTTGTGATTGTAGCTCGCCACCCCTTAGAGTAAACCTTTCCTATTATCAACGAGCTCAATTGGACGAGCTTCAGGCAATTAATAGGTTGTCCTCCTCTTTTTCTACAAAGTGAATGTTCTATCGCAAAAGTCTACTACGGTCTTTTAGGCCAGGGAACATATTGCCCACATTGGTAATCGTCATGAATATACGGAAAATTTTTTTGTTTAATATGGTCACTAAAGTACACTAAATATATGCGAATCCGGATTTAAGAATAAATAAACAACTTAGGCCCAATAGCGGCCCATACCAGCACTTAAACCTTCAAATTTTGCTTTTTTGACAAACTTAACACTAGAAGATGCTTCAGAGGCATAATTTGTACGAAAACCACAATTTTCATTTATAGTAGTGTGTGAAAGAGTAAAATATGAACCTTCGTCCAATATAAAAGTTTCCCAACAAACGACCGCACTTGGTTTTGCAAGTTGAATTTGTTATCTGGACGCTTTGGTATGATTTGCTTTCTCCGATATCATAAAATGTTTATTTTTAAGAATATTACACAAATAAGATGGGATTACGCCAATTTCTTGCGGTTAGGCAAAGAGAACACGAATCTGTCCGCTATTTTGACTTTCTGGCGTTGCTACTTGGGGATTTTGACAGCTTTACGACTAGTTTCTTTTTTACTATACTCTCTCACTCCACTCTTAAAACGTTGCAGTGTACTGTATAAAGTCGATTGATAAATTTTGTGCGGAAAAACATTTGTAAGTAAATAAGTATTCACGGTCTCTTCTTTGCCCATTTCGTACACAAGATTTCTCCTAGATGCTTCATTCGACTCCGTTTTTGTAAACTACAGAAACTATATGACATTTTGGCTTTTATTGTTAAGTATTTTATAGTCAACTACATTTATTAAAAGACATATTCTCTATGCTGTCGTTGCAAAAATACCTTTAAAATTAGTCCAGATTTCTAGAAAAACACCCATTAAGCTCAAGACAGGTTTCTCTTAGGTGGGTTGATTGTAATTTGCCACTGACCAAGCCATACCTTTTAAAGATATATGTATCGGTTCTGAAGAACCGGAAACAAGGAAACCTCTTTGTCCAGCGTAGTTGACGAGTTCACTTCACTTCACTATTTCAAGAAGGATCTCTGCAATTCTGACCACCGACAAGAATTTTGTTTCACGACGGTCAATTGGTCCAGTTCTTTAGGTAACAAGGTCAGTCTTGGGGAATTCCTAACAGAAACAGTTAGGTCCCATTGGTCATGAAGATTGTTCTCGATAGCCACTGCTACAATATATTTTTTATAAATAAACGGTAGAAGAGAGTGAGCGATCTGCTTTATAATTAAAATGGCAGCTCCATTTTACCTTGTGTTATTGCCGGTAAAGCACGTAATTAAAGAGATCTATAAAATGTACTGATTTTAAAAGGATCTCACTGGTCTCACTTATCAAGCCTTATCAATTATCTGTGACTCTTGAGGTGTTAAACCCCTTTTTATCTCATGAAAGCCTTCTGGGTCCAAAATAACAAGCTAATATATTTTAAGTGGGCAATGAGATATTATCATAACGACCTAAAAAGATCTATTACATCTTTACTAATGCTGAAAATATATCTCGAATGTTTCTAAAAATGTGTTCATGGAGCTTTATGTTAGCGGCGTTGTGTAGCCCCTTTTGTTGTCTGGTTAAATTACTTTCTGAGAAAGTTCTTTAGTTATCCTTAAAGGGTGCAATTAATTATCTAGGGTTATTACCCTGTTATTCGATTTTCGATTGGTAAGGGCAGATATACGTGCATGCAAAAATTTCCTGAGTGATAAGAACAACCTAGATAGCTGTTGATGTGCTCACCTTGTCAATTAGCGAATTTAGGAGGATTTAGTGTCTTCGTGAAGTTAACAGTTTCTGGTGGTTCCCAGCTTTAACGCACTTAAAGGCAAGAGGTACAGAAAGTTATATTATGGCCAATAGTTGTCAGCGGTTCCACTAGCCAATCACATTTGAATTCTTAAGTCCTTCAATGAGATTAAAAGATGACAACCTACATCGAGAATTCAGAGTTTGGCAGATGTACAAGCACTAAAAGGAGAGCATTTATCTTTCCATAACTTTTCATATTAACGACTTTTAGTGGGAAAATCCTACATTGCGAGAGTCTTCCATCAACCGCGCTAGAGTCAAGTTTGGGAAAAATTTCTCTCGCACCATTTCTAGAGGCCTCGCTTCGGAAAGCTAATAACTATAAAACTCTTAATTACTTTATTGTGAAGAGTCGAAAAAATAACCAGGGGCTCTGAATCCCATATCGAATTTTTTAAATTTTGTATTTACCCTCGCACGTGGTATAACTTACGCATAAGCGATCAATGAAAGATATAGAACTAGATGCTTTATTGAAAGCGGAACAAGCAAACCAAAAAAGCTGTTTTTGACCCTTGAAAAATTTATAATTTTGGATGCGCGCGTACCTTTATCAGTTATGGGCAGTTTTTAATGATACCGATATCCACTTTAACCGCCCAAATGTAAGTTGGTGTTTCTTTCACGCTACTAAGAAATTACATCTGACCACCCTGTTTTTCAAGGATAACATGGGTGGATCTTTCTGTCTCCAGAAAGTTTTTAGCTGTTCATAAGTTGCATTTCTGTTCTGTGGTGCGTTTTCGTTTAAAAAACAGATTGTTTTGCATAGTTACAACACTAATTAAAGGCGGGAATTCGTTGATATCAGTACTTTTGTTATGTTGAGGTAGACCAGAAAAATAATGTGAGCGGGCAATTGGTAAAGATTCAGGTTGAACCTAGCCCTTCTCTTGTTTCCACTTACATCTTCAAAGTGATTAGATTCTAGCTCGTTAATTCTGCTTAGCGATATTTAATTTTTTTGAAGCTTATCGTTCATAGCTAGTATCAGCGACGTAGGCAGTAAGATTTTTACGAGAGGGAGTTAGAAACATGATAACTTAAATTAAATATGAATATATAAAAGTTAGCTCCCAAAACTTTTGCTAATTACGTTAATGTGATTTTATTAAGGAACTCATGCCTTAATTAATATAATTTTTTTTAAGTATCAAGAAGGATTTATAATAGTCATCTGGTTAAGAGTTCCTTTGGTTCCCCTATGTTGGTAGTTCTTAAATAAGTCAGTAATATAGATTTAGTTCTTATAAAGAAAATATTTACCTTGATGCCAGAAGTATTTTTATCGGCTATAACAATACTATACCATCATATTAGCATTTAATAAAACCACAAAGGATAAGAGTAAGAGGTTAACTTAATCTTGGCTTGTATCACTTATTTATAAATAATTTTATTATCTATTTAAAAATTAGAAGTATTTGGAAATATTTTTAAATAAAATTTATAGCTTCAGGTTTTTATTAGTTT